GTCAGATCATATTCAATTGAGGAACTGCGATTGGTGAAGTGAGAGCACGGTCTGGAGTGTAATCGAGATTGTGTGTTCAACCCAAGAATTTCTTCAAAATGTTCAATTATAAGTGTGTTCGTCACTCCGCATTTGATTAGTATTCTGAGAGAGAGCTCCCAGAAACGGTTCTGAAGGGGTGTTACTCCTGCCAGAACCTCGAGACTCATGTTATGCGTTAAGTGCATACATACAACCGATAGTCCTTCAGAAGTAAGAAAACTCCTTAAAGTCTGTTGTGAAGTGCACCACAACACACTTTGGCTTAAAGTTTTTAATAATAATTACAAAAATTTTTTGGGACAGATACGTATCCCTGTTTCGCACAAAAATGGAGGTCAAGCATTCGAGTTTGCACTCCTACAACTATCAACACTCATGAGTAATTACAAAAGAGACAAGCTAGCAACACAGACAAACAGACATAACACGTTGAATATTTCTCACTGTAAAACATCGTCGCTAAAACATTACCGCCATCTGTTGAGTACACTGTTGTAGGTAGTACGCTGAACAGATGGCGGTAGTGTGTACACGTCAAACGCAAGGGAATTGACTATGCGCGCCACAGGTGGCGGTACTACCAACTACGATACTTTTAAATTGACCGTTAAATGCTTGTTCGATGAACAACTAGCGAGTGTTATGTCTGTTTGTCCGTGCTAGCAATGTCAAGGGAGGATAACATTTTCAATCATATCTCTTTACATACATTGAAGGAAATCGCTAATATCGCCATTTCCAAATACCACATAATACTTTTCAAACCTCCCAAAATTTTAACAAAAGAAGGAGAAATACAGGATATCCTAAAGCAATATCATATGCTACCTACAGGTGGGCATGAAGTAGTTCGCCTCCTCGTGGTGTGCCCTGGAAACGTTAATTATCGAACCCAAGGGAGAGATATTGCGGCTAAACGAACTACCGCAGAGAAGCCCTGCACAAACCCTCGTTGTGCAAAGGCAGGAGTGACGCCGGGTTCTTAGAGTGCTTAGCACACGCAGCTGGTAAGCGGTCACATCTGTCCTGTACGGGCCCTGGACAGTTGGCTGGCTATCACGTCTGCTCTAGAACTCAGGCGAACAACGAACAGCGAGCAACAAGAGGAAGGCCCTGCACAGCTGCTCACTGTGCAGTAGCGAGTGTCACGTCGGACACAACACCTAGTGATGCGCCATAGCGCAACCGGCCCCCTCCCATGACGTAATGCTTTCGGGCGGTTCCGGGGAGGGCAAGGGCCTAGAGCACAGGGTAAGGTTTAGTGGGTCGGGAGAGCTACTTCTCCCATCCCCACACCCTGAGTTATCTTCTCAGGTGTCTGGGAGCAGATTTCCCCCTGTATAAAAAAAAAAAAAAAAAAGACTATATCTCAAAATAAGAGAATATTTTAAATGGAGAAACATGAAAGATGACATTACGAAATTTGTCAAATCATGTAATCAATGTAGAATAAATAAGATTTATAGACACACAAAGGAAGCAGAAGTAATTACTACAATTACTACAACTCCTTCCAAACCTTTTGAAATCTTATCTGCCGATACGGTTGGACCATTTACAAAAACCAACAACGGAAATAGATATATATTATAATTACAATGTAATCTATCAAAATACATTGCAATGGTTACTGTACCTACAAAGGAAGCCAATGTATTAGCTTAAGAAATTGTAAATAATTTTATTCTAACTTACCGATCATTTCTTCAACTTCGTACATATCAAGGCACGGAGTACAACAACGAGGTTATTAATCAAATATGTAAACTTTTAGAGATTAAACATACTCTTTCAACAGCATATCATCCGCAATCTATTGGGGCTTTAGAGAGAAATCACAGATGTTTGAATGAATATCTTAGATGTTTCACTAACGCTCACCAAACAGATTGGGATGACTGGGTTAAATACTATGAATTCACTTTTAACACGACTCCCCATACAGAGCATGGATACACACCGTTTGAACTTGTGTTTGGTCAAAAATCTAAATTTCCACAAAATCTTCAAAATGACATACATAAAACTGAACAAATTTATAGTATAGAGCAGTATAACAATGAATTGAAATTTAAGTTACAATACACGAATCACATTGCAAAAGAAAATCTAATACGAAACAAAGAAAAAAGACAATCGAGAAATAATGAACAAATAAATCAAATACATTTGAACATAGGTGACAAAGTATATTTATCTAATCAAAACAGAAAAAAATTAGATCCATTTTATTTAGGACCATATATCGTTCATAAAGTCGAGACACCAAATTGCATTATAATTCACCCACAAACTAAGAAAATAACAACAGTTCACAACAATAGGTTGATCAAAGTTTAAATGGAATTAAAATAACCAGGTGTGGTGTACCTTTAAACTTCCATTTCCTACATTTCTTTCTGCTTAACTTTAAACAACAATGTTTGGTCATCGTTTCCAAAACCTACTTCCAAGCACACAATGTGCTTACCAGTAAACTTACTTATTTCCTCATGCCACCACACCAGAAGCCCACATAAGAATGTATGACAGAGCATGTGTAGAGAGAAAAAGAGAATCGTACGATAAGCTAGGCGTAAGCATTCTCTTGAAGTGTAGCCGAAGTACTAGAATGTAAGATATAAAATATGAGTGGAATAAACAACTAGAGTGATTCTTGATCATGTGTATAGTCATCTCGTCCGAAACTCCAACTAATGGCTAATGGGGGCTAGCATATGGTGAGTTGACAACCTGGAAGGGGCGGAATACCTAGCCCTGGTCCTCACAAGTTCCTACTTCTCGCCTCCTCGAGTCATATGATAACAAAAGACTACCAGCTGAAACATGGACACAGCTGGGTGGCGTAGCCTGGGCAATGTTGCCAGTCCGGCAATAGCAAAGTGAAGAGGTGCGACGCGAACACTGGCGCGGTAACCATAGTACGATGATAGAGGAAATGCTTCACCAAACCTGAGCGTCTGCTCACCATGGAGGTGCGGCTCAAAACGGCGTCTGTTCTCCATGTTAGGAGTGGCTGATCACCGTCCTAGTGCCAGCGTGGGACTCTTAACAGAGCTGTGCACGATGGTCCCCCGGCGAGACAGGGAGTTGGGGCAGGCCCAACAAGCCGCCCTGGAAAAAAAAAACAAAATTGCAAATACCGAAGAAAGACATACGGATCGGAACAATCGGCACAGACCTGCGACGAAATAAGAACTACGATTGGAAACTCGGAACATGGAACTGCAAATCGCTCGGCTTCCCGGGTTGCGATAGGTTAATCTATGACGAACTTCAACCACGCAACTTCGAAGTCGTATGCAATATGCTCGTGGTGTTTTCGAACGGAAGGTGTTGCGTACCATCTACGGTGGAGTGCAGATGGATGACGGAACGTGGAGGAGGCGAATGAACCACGAATTGCACCAGCTGCTGGGAGAACCATCCATCGTCCACATTGCAAAAATTGGGCAACTACGGTGGGCTGGGCACGTCGTAATAATGCCGCACGACGACCCAGTGAAAATGGTTATAGAAAGCGACCCAACAGGAACAAGAAGAAGAGGCGCGCAGCGGGAAAGGTGGATCGACCAAGTAGAAGGTGACCTGCGGACCCTTCGCAGACTACGAGGCTGGCGAACTGTGGCCATGGATCGAGTAGAGTGGAGACGACTTCTTCGGACAGCAGAGGACAACAAGGTGAAACTTTCAGAAACTTTGATGCACACCTTAAAAAGTTAAAGCTTATTGATCTTTGTTAGAAAGAAAAAAATACGAAGTTATATGTGGAATATAAACAGATATATTTGTTTTATCTTGACTGGTGATTAAACAGATATTTATTGATTTTTCGCTAAAATTTTGGGCTTTATTGGAAGAACCTGAACAATATTAGATTTATTTTAGTAAAACGCTCGATTTTCAGCTTTTTACCGTCCAATAGGAAAAAAGTTGAAAATTGAGCGTTTTTAGAAAAAATAGTGAAATATTAATGATCTTTATTGTAACTGAAAATGAGCAAAAATTCAAGAAGTTCAGTTCATTGTATCATTGTATTAAATTATTTCAAGAAAAAAGCGTTTTTCTCAAATAGCTCTTACTTTCAATAAACGCAACAAAATAAGCCCAATAATTAATAAATGTATGATGATTCAGCAACCGCAAAATTCGAAAACGTATCTCTTTAAATTGTGCTTTTACAGCTGTTTTTCTAAAATTTAAGGACTTCTGTACGCTCAATTTTGAGATACACTGTACTTTGGTTCGGTACTGTAGAAGTTATTTTTGAGAATTTGATTTCTTTTTTGCTTAGTTTTACATTGGGTTCTCTAAACTTGACGTTTGAGTCATCTTGAGAAGCTTAAGTAGAAAACAATCTGCGAGATCTTCTGGATCTACTTTCGTGATCCACTGGACTTGTCCACTGCTTTCAATGTTATTGACGATGAAGTTTTCTGGATATTCCTTGTAAGTGCTCTGATCTAACCCTTTGTGGTTAATTGAAAATGCGAACCGATTATGATCATGACCACAGATTATCCATACTAGCCAAATGGAAATTTAAATCTACGCAGCGCGCGTAATAATTTACATAAATTTATCATTATCGAAAATCGCTGATCAGTCTTCTCGATCTTTGCAGAAAATAGAAGCGTTTGGAATACCTAATCAATCAGCACAAGTGGAACTAATCCAGTTGGCATATGTGCTGCTCTAGTAAACTGTATTCGAATTTAAAATTAGCTCAAATCGCGTAAGCTTCACTGACAAGCACGTGCCTCCTGCAGTATTGGGTTTAAAATTTTGCTGATCACGTTTCGGCGCAACTTGCTCAAATTTTCTAAGGTCACTCACCATCGCATCGTTGCAGTATTCAATCCGACTATGAGGTATTGTTTTGGCGGGGATCCTTTTTTCGATTTGTATAAAAGCGTTGCAGAAGCTGTACAATAACACCAGACAGGCTTACCATCAATTCAAACAACTCCCCAAAAAAACTCCAAACCAATCAAAATGTTCGCTAAAGTGGTAAGTAATTGAACAAAAATATTCTATAATGAAATTCTTTACTTGAATAATTCCATCCCTCGCAGATCATCGTTGCCTGCCTGGCCATTGCCGCCGTCAATGCTGAAGCCAATGCCAAACCTGGATACCTGGCAGCCGGTGTCGCACCAGTAGCCTACTCGGCCGGATATGCCGTGGCTCCGTTGGCCTACGCCGGCTACCCGGTGGCTGCCGCCACTGTCTACAGTGCCCCACTGGTTGCCAGGTATGCAGCCTACGCCGCGGCCCCTGTCGCTGCTGCCTATGCTACTCCATTCGTCGCCGGGCCAGTCGCGAAGACCCTTGCTGCTGCTCCAGCATACCCCTACCTGAGGGCTGCTGCCGCCTATCCGGCTCTCATCTAATTTCCATCCCGAAAATGAAATCCAAAGAAATTTTATTTTAAACAATAAATTGAAGCATTTGTTGAAAATTAGCATTTTAATTAAAAGGTTCAGTTATCACAGTCTACACTCGAAGAATTCTAAATATTTTATTCATTGAAACAATTCACTTATTTTTATAGCTCAACTGAGACTAATGGTAAACTGTGGTATTTGTTTACAGACAACGGCATCGACTCACAAAGGCTCTCAATTATAAGCAAAGACGAATTGGGAAGAATTATCGATCCGTCGGATTGGGATATTGATGAACTATATGACATATTACGGTAAAATGTTTAAATTAGGCACTTATGTGACGGTAGCTGAACAGCTAAGCGTGAATTGTATGAGATAATAGATCTTTTAGTTTCTGATTCATATTTGGTTCCATCTAGTTATACAGAAATTTCTGTTTCATTTGTATGGGAGCCCCCCTATATGGGAGATGGGAGAGGGGGGAGGGGTCTCGAACCATCATAAGAACCTTTCCCGGCCCCAAAACCCCTGCATACAAATTTTCACGCCAATCGGTTCAGTAGTTTCCGAGTCTATAAGGGCCAGACAGACAGACAGACAGAAATTCATTTTCATATATGTTGATGTGTTTCGATTGAAAACGGAAATGGATACGATAGTAAAAGAAATCCAATTCCAATACGACCATGAATAATCAGTATCAATACTATTTGTGAGACTCATAATATTAATATTTCTTATAATATAATATTAATGAATCGATTTAATGAGAAATATTTGGCGTCTAATAAAGAGTATGTTTGATTGTACATGAAATGTATAAGTCTATGTTCATTGACGAATTATCTAGGGCCCCCAGAATTTTTGGTGTTTTTTTGACTCACCGGTATTTTGTGAAGCTTGTCAAGTTCGATGTTACTATTTAACAGCGATTAATCAAATTGGACCACAAACAATATTTTTTTAAAGTTCTTTATATTGGTTACTTTTCTTATGTACTGGACTATAAGAAACAATTTTGAGAAAGTATATTATATTGATATTTAATCGATGGCATAATAAGGCGTCTTGAGGCAATACAAATTAGCAATCAGCCCAGAGATTTTTCTTTAACTTCTGGGAGCTTCGTAAACCTTCAAGGAATTCTAGGAAACATCGTAGAATGTTAGAAATACTGGGAACGTCATAGATCTTTAGATAAAGTGGTAGAAACAAGGAAATTCGGAAAGTTCTGAAAATTGCGTAGAAGTGGGATTTTTATATAAGTTTGAGGAGCTTTGTAGAAGTTAAGGGAACATTATTTTACTTCAGGGAAGCTCATTATTGATCGGGAACCTCTATATAATTTCAGGGATTTTTTTTTTGACGCAGCATGTACTAGAAATAGTTGTGGAAATTACGTTCAAGTTCAAGAAATTTCTTTCGTGGAACTTCGAGGAACGATTTCATACAAAAAATCATTAACAAACGATCATTGCTTGTTCAAAATCAGTAAGCTTTTAAGGCTCATCCAATCTAAGTTCTAATCGTTGTTATGAAATAAATAAAGTCAAATTTATTGTTTCACCATAAAAGTAATAGTAAGCCTCAATATCAAATTGAAATTGAAAAAAATGACCCAAAAAACAAGTTACTTTGACGCAATTTGATTGAAAAGCATCTTCGCGAGTTGTTATTTAACCGTAGTTAAACAAAATAAAAAAATGTTACAAGCCCCCCCTAGGCCCCCTTCAAATACATTTTCTAGCTACGCTAATGTAAAGGGTGATACGGTCAAAATTTGGTCAAGGGAAAACGCGTGTAAATCGGTGAAATCGTTTATTTAAAAAATTAAATTAAATTTCTTTTTCAAGTTCAATTAGTATAAAATTCAGGAAAAATATTCAGTTAGGCTTCCGCTTTTCCAAATCCGAATTGCCGGGCCTTACGCTTGACCCCTGCCATCAGATTTTGTACAGCCACCTTGTCCACCTTCTTCGCCGCAGAAAGCCAGTTTGCCTTGAACTGCTGCTCGCCCTTAGCAGTTTTTTTGGTCTTCTTTAGGTTCCACTTGACAATAGCCCAGTATTTCTCAATTGGGCGGAGCTCTGGCGTGTTGGGAGGGTTCTTGTCCTTGGGAACCACCTGCACGTTGTTGGCGGCGTACCACTCCATGGCCTTTTTACCGTAATGGCAAGATGCCAAATCCGGCCAAAACAGTACCAAAACAAACACGTGTTTCTTCAGGAAAGGCAGCAGACGTTTATTCAAACACTCTTTCACGTAAATTTCTTGGTTGACAGTCCCGGAAGCTATGAAAATGCTGCTTTTCAAGCCACAGGTACAGATGGCTTGCCAAACCAGATATTTCTTTGCGAACTTTGACAGTTTCATGTGCTTGAAAACATCTGCTACCTTTCCCCTTGCTTTTGCCGTATAAAACTCCTGTCCCGGAAGCTGCTTGTAGTCGGCTTTGACGTAGGTTTCGTCGTCCATTACCACGCAGTCAAACTTCGTCAGCATCGTCGTGTACAGCCTCCGGGATCGCGCTTTGGCCGTCGTATTTTGTTTATCATCGCGATTTGGAGTCACTACCTTCTTGTAAGTCGATAGTCCGGCTCGTTTTTTGGCTCGATGCACGGTTGTAGACGATACACCCAGCTTATTTGCGGCATCTCGGAGAGAGAGGTTAGGGTTTCGCTTGAAACTACTGGCAACTCTCTTTGTCGTCTCAGCGGCTTCCGGTTTTCGATTTCCCCCCGATCCAGACTTCCTGGCTGTCGACAAACGTTCCCCAAACACTTTAATTACATTTGTAACGGTTGATTTGGCAACTTTTAGCGATTTTGCCAACTTTGCGTGCGAGTTGCTCGGATTTTCGCGATGCACGAGCAAAATTTTGATACGCTGCTCTTCTTGCTTGGACGGCATTTTGACAACTGAAGAGTGAATTCCAAAATCAAAATACGAGCAACATTCTACACACACACACACCTTCAAAATGAGGGGTGTTCAGGTTTTTTAAATGCAAAATTGAAAGAAATACGTCAAGTTGATATTGACCAAATTTTGACCGTATCACCCTTTATATGTCATACAATTATTTTGACATGACTTATACACTTCATATCTATTACTTTTAAGCTTTATGGGAACCCTAAAAAAAATTGTATGGTTATTTTGCTTAACGACGTTTTAGGGTATCATCCAAACCATTTGTGGAATAGTTCAATCATTTTGGTTATCGTTCGTGTATGGCATTTTTTTATTAGAGCAACCGTACCAGTCGTTGCCATTTGCGGCACTATTTTACTTACGTACAGCGTTTCCATTTTGGCTTGATCACTCCTCTCCACACCGGTCGTTGCTATCAGAGTCATAATTTAAGTTACCGTTTTCCACACCGGCAAAACAAACTTTTGACGTTTATTCAAAACAGCAACCGTCTGATGCGTTGCTACCGGGTTGCTAAATTTATGAACTCACTACTTCCCAAGGTGCGGATTGCTATTTCCCCCACCTAGCAACCTCCGGTACGCAAGTAGCGTTATGGTAGAGGTTGGTAAATGTGCCTTATTTACTCATTAGTACGGTTGCTCTTAGGGAATATAACCACTGCAAAAATCAATGTTAATACATTCAATATGATTTTTTCTTTCCGTGTACACCGTAGCACTGCATCGCATTCAACACTTGTACTGTTCCAGCGCTTGATAACGCTTGCGGTGTCACCAACACAAGCAAAGCAGTCGCGCCGCCGTTGACAGTTGGCCGTTACTCTCCCGAACCCGAAAGAGCCAGCTGTGAAAACGTAAACATTAACAACACGAATCAAACTAAACATTAGTAGTAAAACTAGGAATATCTTTTAATTTAGTGAACATTTCTAGTGCAACCCGACCATCGAGTGTCCGAAAATGGTGCATTACTGAACAAAATCTCCAGGGTAAAAGGATTGCTCCAGATCTCGGGGTGAAAGTGAACTTCAGCTCGCCGAGAGGGCACAACAAAGCGCACATATTGAAAGCAGGAACTAAAAATAAGCATTAAGTGAATTGCCTCCCGGTGCGCCAGAAGCAGCAGGCAGCTAGTAGCATGATTACCCTGACCCGGAAGAAGAAGGAAGCCAGCAGTAATTCGTTAGCAGATTCCACCAAGCGGATCTCGATACGGGAGTTTTTGCTGGTGAAGGAAGTGCAAGAGCTGGAGCAGAACCTACCGAGTACCTGTAAGATCAGCTTTCAGGATCCGAACGTGCTGAGTGATTTCACGCTGGTCATTGCACCGAACGAGGGCTTCTGGCAGGGTGGCCGATTCAAGTTCAGTATTCATGTGCCCGAGGAGTATAATATGGCGGTAAGTCAACGGGAGGGTTGAATGTGCTGCTGCTGGGAAGTGGTTAGCAAATTGAAATCGCAAACGACAAACTGATGGTTTACATTTTACGTCACGTCAAGGGAAAATGTGTTATCATAATAGTTCATGTTTGCTGTTTGATACAACAGGTCCTTGAACAGTATAGCAGCATGTTTGTTTTTAAAGGTGATGGGCGTACATATTTACGTTCGGTTTCTACCGGATCCGGATGATGGACTTACTGGTATTTAAATTATAGGTCCAATCTTTGGCGAAATGTTAACCTGCTCGTGTCGGAATATGACAGGTTACGTTCCTATGAAATGTCTCACTACTCAATTTGGGATCTTATGACCTAATTTTATGAAAACATGACATGAAAAGTTGTGCAACTGTATGTAAATAGGGGAGGGGATGAGCCAGAGAATCTCTTCATTCGTTTTGAAGATATGTCTTATTTTGAAAATATTTGAAAGTCTGTGAAGAAGTGTTTCTGGTCTTCAGAATTATTCTGAATAAACCATCAATTTTTTAAGTCTTTGAAAAACACCCAGAGAACTTTACTGAAATCATTTTGAAAATCCATGGAAATCAACTAAGTTCTATACAACTTAAACGAAGTTTCATTAATTCAATTCCGTTAACAGCTCCCTGAATATCTTCCGAATTAATTTAATTTATCCCTGAGTCTTTATGAAGTTCCCTATATTTGTGGAAAGTTGCCTCCATGAATTTTTCTGCACTTATACGATTTCCCAAACTACAACTTAATTTTTACCAAGATTGCTGAACTTTTGACTATGACCTATGTCTCATTCACTGTTCCCGGGAATTTGACCAAGATCTCAGAACATCATGTTGAATTGCTACAATATTCACATTTACATGCCGAGCTTCTATAGCGGCGCCGGTGGTGTAGTGGTAAGCGTGATTGCCTCTCCTTCCAAAGGGCCTGGATTCAATCTGATGCATAACATTTTTGGTCACGCCTTCCTTCGGAAGGGTAGTAAAGCCGTTAGTCCCCGGTCCATGAGTTGATGATGGGTCGATAGGTAGGGTCCAGCTATGGGAGCTGCCTCCCTGACGTCGGTAGCATTGGTTCTCAGTACGGAAAACAAGATCGATTGAAAATAAAATTCAAGAAAAAAAACCTAGTCGAGCTTCTATGAAGTTCCCTGATCTTCTACATAGTTCCTTGCTCTTCAAAGAAGTTTTGCGAAGTTTCTCGAATTTCTTTTTAACCTTTGCGTGCCTAACGTCTGGATTTGCATAGCTTCAGAGTTCAATTAACTCTAAAACATCATTATTTCTCAATATTTGTCTGCACAACAAGTTGCATTTTGTTGGGAATCTATTCAAGTTTTCGAAGCCGTCAGAAGAAAAAAAAAATTGATCGATAAATTGTTCCGGGGTTATTTCAGTTTCCGTTGGGGTCACTCTGGGTCGGCATTCGGCTTTACTGTTCTGTATAAATTATACACAAGGTGAACATAATATTTTCGCATAAAATTATGTAATTGGACCATTTACGGCTATACCGATGAACCACGATCACATCGGGCATCCCGGAAAAGTTCCGGTGCCCCCGGGGATGTGGCCAATTCTCAACAAGAACCAAACCCAACGTGCGACATAACAAACTTCATGAGTTTATAACACTAGGACGGTAATGGTCTTATTGACAGTCCATGATCCCACTAGCCCTCCCAGGCATGTTCCGGGGAAGTGACCAATTGATCATTTTAGATGGTCAAGTTTTTAACCCACCACAGCATGCTTTTGGCGCTACTGTATATGGACGATCAAATGTAAAATACTGTGGTAGTCACAGCATAGTTCTGTCAAAACCTCAGCTTTTTCATTGATCCATTCCCGACAAGAATCAAAATCCGTCGTGCGACATATCAAACTTCATGATTTTACAAAACTTGGCCGGTAATGACCTTACTGACAGTCCACGTTCACACTAGACCACCCGGTCATGTTCCGGAGCCCCAGAGGAAGTGACCAATTCTCTATTTTAATCAAAACCCGTCGAGTAATATATCAAACATCATGATTTTACAAAACATGGCCAGTAATGGCCTTATTGACAGTCTACGGTCACACTATAGCACTATAGCACTCCTGGTCATGTTTCGGTGCTCCCGGGGAAGTGGCCAATATGCAACATGAACCAAACCCGTCGTGCGACATATCAAACTTCACGTTTTTACCAAACTTGACCGGCAATGGCTTCATTGGGATGCCACGGTTGTAAATGTTCTGGTGCCCTTGGTGTAATGGCCAGTTCAACAAGTAATGGCTTTATTGAGAGTCCACGGTCTTATTGGGTCTCCCAGGCATGTTCCAGTGCCCCTAGGAATGTTCCGATGCCCCCGAGGGTCAGAACTTGCGTCACTACTCATGATACAAATGGCAACTGAACACATTTGGCACACAGGATTGAAACTTCGTCTATCTGAAAACAACTCGAATGAAGTCAAATTTGATATAAATCGGATCATGCCTGGGAGGGCTAGTGTGGGGGTACACCCTAGCTTAGATGATAACTCACTGCGTCGTACCCCTCATTCTGGTGTCTAATGAATTAACATCACTCATGAGTGACAGTGGGTTTGATCATACACGCTATTTCAAAACTACCCAAATTTGGGTAGAATCCACCCAGATCCGTCAAAACTGAACCTACCCAAAAATGGGTAAACTGTGTTGGGAGTGACAAGTTGACAAATGAACAACATTGACATCAATCCGATCGACGTTGTCCATTTGTCAACTTGTCACTCCCAACACAGTTTACCCATTTTTGGGTATGTTCAGTTTTGACGGATCTGAGTGGATTCTACCCAAATTTGGGTAGTTTTGAAATAGCGTGTAGCACGCTGCTGTTTAATGCTGAGGTCAGCGTTGCCGGATATACCGATTTATCGGTATTTATACCGATTTCCGAACTAGATACCGATATACAGAAACCAGAATACCGATTTTTGAGGCGTTATACCGATATATACCGATTTTTTAAATAACCAAAATCAAAATTTTTGTGTGAGACTTGTATCTTTTTGAATATCTAAAATTTTTTGAGTCTTTAAAATTCTAAAAAAAAAATCATCTTCAAAAATGTCTTATGGACACTCTTTCGATTAATATTTCAAATTCCCCACCGTTCTTGGCCACCCATGAATCGATAAACAGTCGATGACTCTTTCTGATAATACCGGGGGAATCGGGAAATGCTTTTTAAACATTATTTAACTTCCTGGATTTTCTTCCATCTTTCCCCTGGAATTTTCTATTTACGATTCCTCTCGGAAACTTATTTCGACTTCTCTTGACAGCTTCTTCAGCCTTCACTCGAATGATTCTTCCCGGAACTTCAGGAATGCTTCTAGATGTTGATTGCGGATCCACACTAGCTGCAGGAACTGTTAAAAAAGTTCTGAAACTTCAGAAAAGTTCAGACTTTTGAGTAAATTTCGATAAATTCAGCGCCAACATTTCAAAGGGGCGTAATTGCATTTGTAAACAATGGCTTTAGTCGTCGATTTCTCGCGATGAAAGCTCACTCATGAAAATGAATGACACCAGCACGCAGAGGAATGTTTCCTGTATCAGCTAGCATTTGTAATTTGGAGGTGTGGGTTTTCATTTGCGAGAAATCGACGTCTAAAGCCATTGTTTACAAAAGCAATTACGCCCCTTTGAAATGTTGGCACTGAATTAAAGAAAGTAACTTCTGTTAAAATTCTAAAACACCGTTCAGCGAACTCCAGTGAACTTAACGAGACATCATAAATATTTTGGATATTTCACAAGGCCAAAGAACTTCTGGAAAATTTAATGGTTTTCAGGACAGTCCCATTAGTTTCAAGAGAATTGAGAAAACATTAGGAAGCTCCGAGAACATCAGGACAATCAGACCAGATCAATAAATTTCAAGGAAATCGCTGAAATTTTAAAGGAGTTCCGAGAAACTATGAGCAATGTTCCAAAGAGCTCATACAAATTTAAGAAACGTAAGGGAAGTTATACGAACATTAGCACATTGTGAGAACATTTTATGGGAAGTTCCGTGCTTATTGATGGCAGTGTCGAAATTTTTTAAAAATTAGAAAAATCGGGAAGATCAGGGAACTTTAATGCTGATGTTACAATAAATTCAAGAAAATTGTAAGAGTGCTTAAAAAATTTCGTAATCTTCAAGAAAGTCTAGAAACCTTCAAAGTTGATTAGAGATATTCCGGTAGTCTCATCTTAATCAGGGAAGTTCCAAGTATTTCAAAGATGATCAGAATACTCCAAAACAGCCCGAGGAAATATGGAATATTCCTAAGTACATTTCAGGAATGTTCCAAAAATTTGCGGGGTCTTCAGGGATGTTTTATGACCCTTTGGAAAATTTTCTGGATCAGTAGAACATCCCCCAAGAGCTCTTTCTTCCGGAATTATGTCCTTGTTTCTTTCGACATTTCCGTAAGCGCTCTGGCTTCCGACTTTCTCCAGATTTTTTTTCCCAATCTACCTTAGGAAGTTTCTAACAGCGTCTTCAAGAAGTTTGGTCCGTCTTCTCCAAGAAGTTCAATTAAACTTCTCCCAGAAATTTCTTTCGTCTTGTTCTGGAATTTTGTCCAGTTGTTTTTTTTTAGTTCTTTCGGAAGGTTTTTCCGAGCTTCTTCTGGCTTCCTCTGGAAATGGCTACTTCTGGAATTTATTTCCGGTTTCCGAAACTTTTCTGCCTTCCTTTGAATGTGAAATCCGATTTTTTTTTCTGAGTTTCTTTAAATTTTCGCCAGAAGTTTCTCAATTTATGTCTTGGAAGTTCCGCGGATGTTTGTCCGACTTCTCTCAGAACCTACCTCAAATTTCCTCCAGGAGAGCTTCTTTCTCTGGCTCTTGTTTTCAGCTTCCTCCAGAAGCTAATACAAACATTCCCCAGAGTTTTCTTCCGGAATTTTCCGATCATAGTCCAAAAGTAACAATTTTCGCTTTCAAAAACG